GTCCACGTCCGTCCACGTCCATGTCCACGTCCACGTCCACGTCCACGTCCATGTCCACGTCCACGTCCACGTCCATGTCCACGTCCACGTCCACGTCCACGTCCTGTCCACGTCCATGTCCACGTCCACGTCCACGTCCATGTCCACGTCCACGTCCACGTCCACGTCCATGTCCACGTCCATGTCCACGTCCACGTCCACGTCCACGTCCATGTCCACGTCCATGTCCGTCCACGTCCACGTCCATGTCCACGTCCACGTCCACGTCCATGTCCACGTCCACGTCCACGTCCACGTCCATGTCCACGTCCACGTCCACGTCCACGTCCATGTCCATGTCCACGTCCACGTCCACGTCCACGTCACGTCCATGTCCACGTCCACGTCCATGTCCACGTCCACGTCCACGTCCACGTCCACGTCCACGTCCACGTCCACGTCCATGTCCACGTCCACGTCCACGTCCACGTCCATGTCCACGTCCACGTCCACGTCCATGTCCACGTCCACGTCCACGTCCACGTCCAGTCCACGTCCACGTCCACGTCCATGTCCACGTCCACGTCCACGTCCACGTCCACGTCCACGTCCACGTCCATGTCCAGTCCACGTCCACGTCCACGTCCACGTCCACGTCCATGTCCACGTCCACGTCCACGTCCACGTCCACGTCCACAGTCCACGTCCATGTCCACGTCCACGTCCACGTCCACGTCCATGTCCACGTCCACGTCCACGTCCACGTCCACGTCCACGTCCATGTCCACGTCCATGTCCACGTCCACGTCCACGTCCACGTCCATGTCCACGTCCACGTCCACGTCCATGTCCACGTCCACGTCCATGTCCACGTCCACGTCCATGTCCACGTCCACGTCCACGTCCATGTCACGTCCACGTCCACGTCCACGTCCACGTCCATGTCCACGTCCACGTCCACGTCCACGTCCATGTCCACGTCCATGTCCACGTCCATGTCCACGTCCACGTCCACGTCCATGTCCACGTCCACGTCCTCCACGTCCACGTCCACGTCCACGTCCACGTCCACGTCCACGTCCATGTCCACGTCCATGTCCACGTCACATGTCCACGTCCACGTCCATGTCACGTCCACGTCCACGTCCACGTCCACGTCCACGTCCACGTCCACGTCACGTCCACGTCCACGTCCACGTCCCACGTCCACGTCCACGTCCACGTCCACGTCCACGTCCACGTCCACGTCCACGTCCACGTCCATGTCCACGTCCACGTCCACGTCCACGTCCACGTCCACGTCCACGTCACGTCCACGTCCACGTCCACGTCCATGTCCACGTCCATGTCCACGTCCACGTCCACGTCCACGTCCATGTCCACGTCCACGTCCACGTCCACGTCCACGTCCATGTCCACGTCCACGTCCACGTCCACGTCCATGTCCACGTCCACGTCCACGTCCACGTCCACGTCCATATCCACGTCCACGTCCATGTCCACGTCCACGTCCATGTCCACGTCCATGTCCACGTCCACGTCCACGTCCACGTCCACGTCCACGTCCACGTCCACGTCCACGTCCACGTCCACGTCCACGTCCATGTCCACGTCCACGTCCATGTCCACGTCCACGTCCACGTCCATGTCCACGTCCACGTCCACGTCCACGTCCACGTCCACGTCCACGTCCACGTCCATGTCCACGTCCACGTCCATGTCCACGTCCATGTCCACGTCCACGTCCACGTCCACGTCCATGTCCACGTCCACGTCCACGTCCATGTCCACGTCCACGTCCACGTCCACGTCCACGTCCACGTCCATGTCCACGTCCATGTCCACGTCCACGTCCACGTCCACGTCCATGTCCACGTCCATGTCCGTCCACGTCCACGTCCATGTCCACGTCCACGTCCACGTCCATGTCCACGTCCACGTCCACGTCCACGTCCACGTCCATGTCCACGTCCACGTCCACGTCCACGTCCAGTCCACGTCCACGTCCACGTCCACGTCCACGTCCATGTCCAGTCCACGTCCACGTCCACGTCCACGTCCACGTCCACGTCCATGTCCACGTCCACGTCCACGTCCATGTCCACGTCCACGTCCACGTCCAGTCCACGTCCACGTCCACGTCCATGTCCACGTCCACGTCCACGTCCACGTCCACGTCCACGTCCACGTCCATGTCCACGTCCACGTCCACGTCCACGTCCACGTCCATGTCCACGTCCACGTCCACGTCCACGTCCACGTCCACGTCCAGTCCACGTCCACGTCCACGTCCACGTCCACGTCCATGTCCACGTCCACGTCCACGTCCACGTCCACGTCCATGTCCACGTCCACGTCCACGTCCACGTCCATGTCCACGTCCACGTCCACGTCCACGTCCGTCCATGTCCACGTCCACGTCCACGTCCATGTCCACGTCCACGTCCACGTCCACGTCCACGTCCAATGTCCACGTCCATGTCCACGTCCATGTCCACGTCCACGTCCATGTCCACGTCCACGTCCACGTCCACGTCCACGTCCACGTCCTCCCCGTCCACGTCCACGTCCAGTCCACGTCCACGTCCACGGTCCGACGTCCACCGTCCACGTCCAATGTCCACTGTCCACCTTGTCACGTCCACGTCCACGTCCACGTCCATGTCCACGTCCACGTCACGTCCATGTCCACGTCCACGTCCAAGTCCACGTCCATAGTCCACGTCCACGTCCATGTCCACGTCCACCGTCCCGTCCACGTCCATGTCCACGTCCACGTCCATGTCCACGTCCATGTCCACGTCCCCACGTCCACTGTCCACGTCCACGGCCTTCCACGTCCATGTCCACCGTCCACGTCCATGTCCACGTCCTCACGTCCACGTCCAGTCCAAGTCATGGTCCACGTCCATGTCCACGTCCAACGTCCCACGTCCAAGTCCACGTCCAGTCCCACGTCCACGTCCACTGTCCATGTCCACGTCCACGTCCACGTCGACGTCCACTGTCCACGTCCACGTCCATGTCCACGTCCATGTCCAACGTCCACGTCCACGTCCATGTCCACGTCCATGTCCACGTCCATGTCCACGTCCACGTCCATGTCCACGTCCACGGTCCACGTCCACGTCCATGTCCACGTCCAGTCCATGTCCACGTCACTGTCCACGGTCCACGTCCACGTCCACAGCCACGTCCACGTCCACTGTCCACGTCCAGTCCACGTCCACGGTCCACGTCCAGTCCACTGTCCACGTCCACGTCCACGTCCATGTCCACGTCCATGTCCACGTCCACGTCCATGTCCACGTCCATGTCCACGTCCATGTCCACGTCCACGTCCACGTCCACGTCCACGTCCATGTCCACGTCCAGTCCCCACGTCCACGTCCACGTCCATGTCCACGTCCACGTCACGTCCATGTCCACGTCCACGTCCACGTCCACGTCCATGTCCACGTCCACGTCCACGTCCACGTCCACGTCCATGTCCACGTCCAGGTCCACGTCCACGTCCATGTCCACGTCCATGTCCACGTCCATGTCCACGTCCACGTCCACGTCCACGTCCATGTCCACGTCCAAGTCCTCCAAGTCCACGTCCACGTCCACGTCCATGTCCACGTCCACGTCCACGTCCACGTCCATGTCCACGTCCATGTCCACGTTCATGTCCACGTCCACGTCCACGTCCATGTCCACGTCCACGTCCACGTCCACGTCACGTCCATGTCCACGTCCACGTCCACGTCCACGTCCACGTCCACGTCCACGTCCACGTCCACGTCCACGTCCACGTCCACGTCCACGTCCATGTCCACGTCCAAGTCGTCCACGTCCACGTCCATGTCCACGTCCATGTCCACGTCCATGTCCACGTCCACGTCCACGTCCATGTCCACGTCCACGTCCACGTCCACGTCCATGTCCACGTCCACGTCCACGTCCACGTCCACGTCCATGTCCACGTCCCGTCCACGTCCACGTCCATGTCCACGTCCATGTCCACGTCCACGTCCACGTCCACGTCCACATCCATGTCCACGTCCACGTCCACGTCCACGTCCATGTCCACGTCCACGTCCATGTCCACGTCCATGTCCACGTCCACGTCCATGTCCACGTCCATGTCCACGTCCATGTCCACGTCCACGTCCACGTCCACGTCCATGTCCACGTCCACGTTCTCCACGTCCACGTCCACGTCCACGTCCACGTCCATGTCCACGTCCACGTCCACGTCCACGTCCACGTCCACGTCCACGTCCACGTCCATGTCCACTTCCATGTCCACGTCCACGTCCATGTCCACGTCCACGTCCACGTCCATGTCCACGTCCATGTCCACGTCCACGTCCATGTCCATGTCCACGTCCACGTCCATGTCCACGTCCATGTCCACGTCCACGTCCACGTCCACGTCCATGTCCACGTCCATGTCCACGTCCACGTCCACGTCCACGTCCATGTCCACGTCCATGTCCTCCACGTCCACGTCCATGTCCACGTCCACGTCAACGTCCATGTCCACGTCCACGTCTACGTCCACGTCCATGTCCACGTCCACGTCCACGTCCACGTCCACGTTATGTCCACGTCCACGTCCACGTCCACGTCCATGTCCACGTCCATGTCCACGTCCATGTCCACGTCCACGTCCACGTCCATGTCCACGTCCACGTCCACGTCCATGTCCACGTCCACGTCCACGTCCTTGTCCACGTCCACGTCCACGTCCACGTCCACGTCCATGTCCACGTCCACGTCCACGTCCATGTCCACGTCCATGTCCACGTCCACGTCCATGTCCACGTCCACGTCCATGTCCACGTCCATGTCCACGTCCACGTCCACGTCCACGTCCATGTCCACGTCCACGTCCACGTCCACGTCAATGTCCATGTCCACGTCCACGTCCACGTCCACGTCCATGTCCACGTCCACGTCCACGTCCACGTCCATGTCCACGTCCATGTCCACGTCCACGTCCATGTCCACGTCCATGTCCACGTCCATGTCCACGTCCACGTCCAAGTCCATGTCCACGTCACGTCCACGTCCACGTCCACGTCCACGTCCATGTCCACGTCAACGTCCATGTCCACGTCCACGTCCACGTCCATGTCCACGTCCACGTCCACGTCCACGTCCATGTCCACGTCCATGTCCACGTCCACGTCCACGTCCATGTCCACGTCCATGTCCACGTCCACGTCCACGTCCATGTCCACGTCCAAGTCCTCCACGTCCACGTCCATGTCCACGTCCACTGTACCACGTCCATGTCCACGTCCACTTGTCCACGTCCATGTCCACTTCCACTGTCCACGTCCAGTCCACGTCCAAGGTCTCAACGTCACGCAACGGTCCACGTCCATGTCCACTCGTCCACGTCCACGTCCATGTCCCCTCCCTGTCCCGTCCCGTCCCTTTCCCCGTCCCGTCCCGCCATGTCCACGTCCACGTCCACGTCCATGTACCACGGTCCATGTCCACGTCCATGTCCACGTCCATGTCCAAGTCTACGCATGTTCCCACGTCCATGTCCACGTCCATGTCCACGTCCACGTCCACGTCCATGTCCACGCTCCAAGTCCTCCACGTCCACGCTTCCACGTCCATGTCCACGTCCACGTCAACGTCCATGTCCACGTTCCACGTCCACGTTCCACGTCCATGTCCACGTCCACGTCCACGTCCACGTCCACGTCCATGTCCACGTCCATCGTCCACGTCCACGTCCATGTCCACGTCCATGTCACGTCCCAAGTCACGTCCACGTCCACGTCCATGTCCAGTCCACGTCCACGTCCAAGTCCACGTCCACGTCCATGTCCACGTCCACGTCCACGTCCATGTCCATGTCCACGTCCAGGTCCACGTCCACGTCCATGTCCACGTCCACGTCCACGTCCATGTCCACTTCCATGTCCACGTCCACGTCCATGTCCACATCCATGTCCATGTCCACGTCCATGTCCACGTCCACGTCCATGTCCACGTCCATGTCCACGTCCACGTCCACGTCCACGTCCATGTCCACGTCCAAGTCCACGTCCACGTCCATGTCCATGTCGACGTCCATGTCCACGTCCATGTCCACGTCCATGTCCACGTCCACGTCCACGACCACGTCCACGACCATGTCCACGTCGACGTCCACGTCTACGTCTACGTCCACGTCCACGTCCACGACCACGTCCACGACCATGTCCATGTCCACGTCCACGTCTACGTCCACGTCCATGTCCACGTCAACGTCCATGTCCACGTCCATGTCCACGTCCACGTCCATGTCCACATCCATGTCCACGTCCATGTCCACGTCCACGTCCACGTCCACGTCCATGTCCACGTCCAAGTCCTCCACGTCCACGTCCACGTCCACGTCCACGTCCATGTCCACGTCTACGTCCACGTCCACGTCCACGTCCATGTCCACGTCCACGTCCACGTCCATGTCCACGTCCATGTCCACGTCCATGTCCACGTCCATGTCCACGTCCACGTCCACGTCCACGTCCATGTCCACGTCCACGTCCACGTCCACGTCCATGTCCACGTCCATGTCCACGTCCACGTCCATGTCCACGTCCATGTCCACGTCCAAGTCCACGTCCACGTCCACGTCCATGTCCATGTCCACGTCCACGTCCAAGTCCACGTCCACGTCCATGTCCACGTCCACGTCCACGTCCATGTCCATGTCCACGTCCAGGTCCACGTCCACGTCCATGTCCACGTCCACGTCCACGTCCATGTCCACTTCCATGTCCACGTCCACGTCCATGTCCACATCCATGTCCATGTCCACGTCCATGTCCACGTCCACGTCCATGTCCACGTCCATGTCCACGTCCACGTCCACGTCCACGTCCATGTCCACGTCCAAGTCCACGTCCACGTCCATGTCCATGTCGACGTCCATGTCCACGTCCATGTCCACGTCCATGTCCACGTCCACGTCCACGACCACGTCCACGACCATGTCCACGTCGACGTCCACGTCTACGTCTACGTCCACGTCCACGTCCACGACCACGTCCACGACCATGTCCATGTCCACGTCCACGTCTACGTCCACGTCCATGTCCACGTCAACGTCCATGTCCACGTCCATGTCCACGTCCACGTCCATGTCCACGTCCATGTCCACGTCCATGTCCACGTCCACGTCCACGTCCACGTCCATGTCCACGTCCAAGTCCTCCACGTCCACGTCCACGTCCACGTCCACGTCCATGTCCACGTCTACGTCCACGTCCACGTCCACGTCCATGTCCACGTCCACGTCCACGTCCATGTCCACTTCCATGTCCACGTCCACGTCCATGTCCACGTCCACGTCCACGTCCATGTGCACGTCCATGTCCACGTCCACGTCCATGTCCACGTCCATGTCCACGTCCATGTCCACGTCCATGTCCACGTCCACGTCCACGTCCATGTCCACGTCCATGTCCACGTCCACGTCCACGTCCATGTCCACGTCCATGTCCTCCACGTCCACGTCCATGTCCACGTCTACGTCAAAGTCCATGTCCACGTCCACGTCCACGTCCACGTCCATGTCCACGTCCACGTCCACGTCCACGTCCACGTTTATGTCCACGTCCACGTCCACGTCCACGTCCACGTCCACGTCCACGTCAACGTCCATGTCCACGTCCAAGTCCACGTCCACGTCCATGTCCACGTCCACGTCCACGTCCATGTCCATGTCCACGTCCAGGTCCACGTCCACGTCTATGTCCACGTCCACGTCCATGTCCATGTCCACTTCCATGTCCACGTCCACGTCCATGTCCACGTCCATGTCCATGTCCACGTCCATGTCCACGTCCACGTCCATGTCCACGTCCATGTCCACCTCCACGTCCACGTCCACGTCCATGTCCACGTCCAAGTCCACGTCCACGTCCATGTCCATGTCGACGTCCATGTCCACGTCCATGTCCACATCCATGTCCACGTCCACATCCACGACCACGTCCACGACCATGTCCACGTCCACGTCCACGTCTACGTCTACGTCCACGTCCATATCGACGTTCACGTCCACGTCAGAGTCCACGTCCACGTCCACGTCCACGTCCAGTCCATGTCCACGTCCATGTCCACCTTCACCTCCACGTCCACGTCCACCTCCACGTCCACGTCCACGTCCACGTCCACGTCCATAACCACGTCCAAGTCCTCCACGTCCATGTCCACGTCCACGTCCACGTCCATGTCCACGTCCATGTCCACGTCCATGTCCACGTCCATGTCCACGTCCACGTCGATTTCCATGTCCACGTCCATGTCCACGTCCACGTCGATGTCCACGTCCACGTCCACGTCCATTTCCACGTCCACGTCCACATCCACGTCCACGTCCATGTCCACGTCCACGTCCACGTCCACGTCCACGTCCACGTCCACGTCCCCGTCCACGTCCATGTCCACGTCCACGTCCATGTCCACGTCCACGTCCACGTTCACGTCCACGTCCATGTCCACGTCCACGTCCACGTCCATGTCCACGTCCACGTCCACGTCCATGTCCACGTCCACGTCCACGTCCACGTCCATGTCCACGTCCACGTCCACCTCCATGTCCACGTCCATGTCCACGTCCACGTCCACGTCCACGTCCACCTCCATGTCCACGTCCATGTCCACGTCCACGTCCACGTCCATGTCCACGTCCATGTCCACGTCCACGTCCACGTCCACGACCACGTCCACGTCCACGTCCACGTCCACGTCCACGTCCATGTCCACGTCCAAGTCGTCCACGTCCACGTCCACGTCCACGTCCACGTCCACGTCCATGTCCACGTCCACGTCCACGTCCATGTCCACGTCCACGTCCACGTTCATGTCCACGTCCATGTCCACGTCCACGTCCACGTCCACGTCCATGTCCATGTCCACGTCCACGTCCATGTCCACGTCCATGTCCACGTCCACGTCCATGTCCACGTCCATGTCCACGTCCATGTCCACGTCCACGTCCACGTCCACATCCACGTCCATGTCCACGTCCATGTCCACGTCCAAGTCCACGTCCATGTCCACGTCCATGTCAACCACGTCCACGTCCATATCCACGTCCACGTCCACGTCCACGTCCACCTCCACGTCCACGTCCACGTCCATGTCCACGTCCAAGTCCTCCACGTCCAAGTCCTCCACGTCCAAGTCCTCCACGTCCACGTCCACGTCCAGGTCCACGTCCACGTCCACGTCCATGTCCAAATCCACGTCCAAGTCCACGTCCAGGTCCTCGTCCACGTCCAGGTCCACGTCCACGTCCACGTCCACGACCTCGTCCACGTCCACGTCCGCGACCACGTCCACGTCCACGACCTCTACGTCCATGTCCACGTCCTCCACGTCCACGTCCACGTCCATGTCCACGTCCACGTCCACGTCCACGTCCACGTCCACGTCCACGTCCAGGCCTAGTCCAGGTCCACGCCCACGTCCACATCCACGACCACGTCCACATCCACGTCTACGTCCACGTCCACGTCCACGTCCACGTCCAGGTCCAGGTCCACGTCTACATCCACGTCCACGTCCACGTCCACCACATCCACGTCCACATCCTCCACGTCCTCGTCCACGTCCACGTCCACGTCCACCTCCACGTCCTCATCCACGACCACGTCCACGTCCATGACCATGTCCACGTCCACGTCCACGTCCACATCCACGTCCACGTCCATGCCACGTCCACATCCACGTCCACGTCCACGTCCACGTCCACATCCAAGTCCACGTCCACGTCCAGGTCCACGTCCACGTCCACGTCCACTTCCACGTCCACGACCACGCCCACGTCCACGTCCACGACCACGTCCATGTCCACGTCCACATCCAGGTCCACGTCCACGTCCACGTCCTCCACGTCCACGTCGACGTCCACGTCCTCCACGTCCACGTCCACGTCCACGTCCACGACCACGACCACGTCCACGTCCACGTCTTCGTCCACGTCCACGTCCACGACCACGTCCACGTCCACGTCCACGTCCAAGACCACGTCCACGTCACGTCTACGTCCACGTCCACATCCACGTCCACGACCACGTCCACGTCCACGTCCACGACCATGTCCACGTCCACGTCCACGTCCAGGTCCAGGTCCACGTCCAGGTCCACGTCCACGTCCACGTCCAGGTCCTCGTTCAGGTCCAGGTCCACGTCCACGTACACGTCCAGGTCCAGGTCCACGTCCAGGTCCACGTCCACGTCCATGTCCAATTCCACGTCCACGTCCAGGTCCACGTCCACGTCCACATCCATGTCCAGCTCTACGTCGACGTCCACGTCCACGTCCACGACCACGTCCACGTCCACGACCACGTCCACGTCCACGTCCACGACCACGTCCACGTCCACGTCCAAGTCCACGTCCACGTCCACGTCCACGTCCACATCCAAGTCCACGTCCACGTCCACGTCCACGTCCAAGTTCACGTCCATGTTTAGGACCACGTCCACATCCACGTCCACAACCATGTCCACGTCCACGTCCACGTCCAAGTCCACGTCCACGTCCACGTCGACGTCCAAGTCCACGTCCATGTCAAGGACCACGTCCACGTCCACGTCCACGTCCACGACCACGTCCACGTCCACGTCCACGACCAGGTCCACGTCCACGTCCACGTCCACGTCCACGTCCCCATTCACGTCCACGTCCACATCCACGTCCACGACCACGTCCACATCCACGTCCGCGTCCACGTCCACGTCAACGACCACGTCCACTACCACGTCCACGTCCACGTCCACGACCACGTCCACGTCAACGTCCACGTCCACGTCCACGTCAACGTCCACGTCAACGACCACGTCCACGTCCACGTCACGTCCAAGTCCACGTCTACATCCACGACCACATCCACGTCCACGTCCACGACCACGTCCACGTCCACGTCCATGTCCACGTTTACGTCCACGTCCAGGTCCACGTCCACGTCCAGGTCCACGTCCACGTCCACGTCCACGTCCAGGTCCACTTTCAAGTCCACGTCCAGGTCCTCGTCCACGTCCACGTCCACGTCCACGTCCACGACCACGTCCACGACCACGTCCACGTCCACGTCCACGACCACGTCCACGTCCACTTCCACGTCCACGACCTCCACGTCCACGTCCACGTCCTCCACGTCCACGTCCACGTCCAGGTCCAGGTCCACGTCCAGGTCCACGTCTACGTCCACATCCACGTCCAATTCCACGTCCAGATCCACGTCCACGTCCACATCCACGACCACGTCCACGTCCACGTCCACGTTCACGTCCACGTCCACGTCCACGTCTACGTCCACGTCCACGTCCACATCCAAGTCCACGTCCTCGTCCTCCACGTCCACGTCCACATCCTCCACGTCCTCGTCCACGTCCATGTCCACGTCCACCTCCACGTCCACATCCACGACCACGTTCACGTCCATGACCACGTCCACGTCCACGTCCACGTCCACATCCACGTCCACGTCCATGCCACGTCCACGTCCACGTCCACGTCCACGTCCACGTCCACGTCCACTTCCACGTCCACGACCACGTCCACGTCCACGTCCACGACCTTGCTACGTCCACGTCCACATCCTGGTCCACGTCCACGTCCACGTCCTCCACGTCCACGTCCACGTCCTCCACGTCCACGTCGACGTCCACGTCCACGTCCACGACCACGTCCACGTCCACGTCTTCGTCCACGTCCAGGTCCACGTCCACGACCACGTCCACGTCCACGTCCATGTCCACGTCACGTCTACGTCCACGTCCACGTCCACGACCACGTCCACGTCCACGTCCACGACCACGACCACGTCCACGTCCACGTCCAGCTCTACGTCGACGTCCACGTCCACGTCTACGTCCAGGTCCGGGTCCTCGTTCAGGTCCAGGTCCACGTCCACGTCCAGGTCCACGTCCACGTTCAGGTCCAGGTCCACGTCCACGTCCACATCCAGGTCCACGTCCACGTCCAGGTCCACGTCCACGTCCACGTCCACGTCCAATTCCACGTCCAGGTCTACGTCTAGCTCTACGTCGACGTCCACGTCCACGTCCACGTCCACGACCACGTCCACGTCCACGACCACGTCCATTTCCACGACCACGTCCACGTCCACGTCCACGTCCAAGTCCACGTCCACGTCCACGTCCACATCTAGGTCCACGTCCACGTCCACGTCCACGTCCAAGTCCACATCCACGTCCAGGACCACGTCCACGTCCACGTCCACGTCCACGACCATGTCCACGTCCACGTCCACGTTCAAATCCACGTCCACGTCCACGTCCACGTCCAAGTCCACGTCCATGTCAAGGACCACGTCCACGTCCAAGTCCACGTCCACGTCCACGTCCACGTCCACGACCACGTCCACGTCCACGTCCACGTCCACGTCCACATTCACGTCCACGTCCACGTCCACGTCCACGACCACGTCCACATCCACGTCCACGTCCACGTCCACGTCAACGACCACGTCCATTACCACGTCCACGTCCACGTCCATGACCACGTCTACGTCAACGTCCACGTCCACGTCCACGTCCACGTCCACGTCCACGTCAACGACCACGTCCACGTCCACTTCCACGTCCACGTCCACGTCCACGTCCAAGTCCACGTCCACGTCCAGTTCCACTTCCAGGTCCACGTCTAGGTCTACGTCGACGTCCACGTCCACGTCGACGTCCACGTCCACGTCCACGACCACGTCCACGTTCACGTCCACGTCCAAGTCCACGTCCAAGTCCACGTCCACGTCCACGTCCACGACCACGTCCACGACCACTTCAAGGTCCACGTCCACGTCCACGTCCAGGTCCACGTCCACGACCACGTCCACGTCGACGTCACGTCCACAACCACGTCCACGTCCACGACCACGTCCACGTCCACGTCCACGTCCACGTCCAGGTCCACGTCCACGTCCAGGTCCACGTCCACGTCCACGACCAGGTCCACGTCCACGTCACGTCCACGACCACGTCCACGTCCACGACCACGTCCACGTCCACGTCCATGTCTACGTCCACGTCCACCTCCAGGTCCACGTCCACGTCCAGGTCCACGTCCACGTCCACGACCACGTCCACGTCTACGTCCACGTCCACGTCCATGTCCAGGTCCAGGTCCACGTCCACGTCCAGGTCCACGTCCACGTCCAGGTCCACGTCCACGTCCACGTCTAAGTCCACGTCCACATCAAGGTCCACGTCCATGTCCACGTCCACGTCCACGTCCACGACCACGTCCACGTCCACATCCACGTCCACGTCCACGTCCACATCCACATCCACTCCACGTCCACGTCCACGTCCACGTCCAAGTCCATGTCCACGTCCAGGTCCACGTCCACGTCCACGTCCACGTCCACGTCCACTTCCACGTCCACGACCACGTCCACGTCCACGTCCACGTCCACATCCAGGTCCACGTCCACGTCCACGTCCTCCACGTTCACGTCTACGTCCACGTCCACGTCCACGTCCACGTCCACGTCCATGACCGCGTCCACGTCCACGTCTTCGTCCACGTCCAGGTCCACGTCCACGACCGCGTCCACGTCCACGTCCACGTCCACGACCTCGTCCACGTCCACGTCACGTCTACGTCCACGTCCACGTCCACGTCCACGACCACGTCCACGTCCACGTCCACGTCCACGACCACGTCCACGTCCACGTCCACGTCCACGTCCAGGTTCACATCCTCGTTCAGGTACAGGTCCACGTCCACGTCCACGTCCAGGTCCAGGTCCACGTCCAGGTCCACGTCCACGTCCACGTCCAGTTCCACGTCCAGGTCCACGTCCAGCTCTACGTCGACGTCCACGTCCACGTCTACGTCCACGTCCACGTCCACGACCACGTCCACGTCCACGTCCACGACCACGTCAACGTCCACGTCCACGTCCAAGTCCACGTCCACGTCCACGTCCACGTCCACGTCCACATCCAAGTCCACGTCCACGTCCACATCCACGTCCAAGTCCACGTCCACGTCCAGGACCACGTCAACGTCCACGTCGACAACCATGTCCACGTCCACGTCCACGTCCAAGTCCACGTCCACGTCCACGTCGACGTCCAAATCCACGTCCATGTCAAGGACCATGTCCACGTCCACGTCCACGTCCACGACCACGTCCACGTCCACGTCCACGACCAGGTCCACGTCCACATCCACGTCCCCATTCACGTCCACGTCCACATCTACGTCCACGACCACGTCCACATCCACGTCCACGTCCACGTCCACATCAACGACCACGTCCACTACCACGTCCACGTCCACGACCACGTCCACGTCAACGTCCACGTCCACGTCCACGTCCACGTCAACGACCACGTCCACGTCCACGTCCACGTCACGTCCACGTCCACGTCCACATCCACGACCACGTCCACGTCCACGTCCACGACCACGTCCACGTCCAGGTCCACGTCCACGTCCAGGTCCACATCCACGTCCACGTCCACGTCCACGTCCACGTCCACGTCCACGTCCAGGTCCACGTCCAAGTCCACGTCCAGGTCCTCGTCCACGTCCAGGTCCACGTCCACGTCCACGTCCACGACCACGTCCACGTCCACGACCACGTCCACGTCCACGTCCACGACCACGTCCACGTCCACTTCCACGTCCACGACCTCCACGTCCACGTCCACGTCCTCCACGTCCACGTCCACGTCCACCTCCACGTCCAATTCCACGTCCAGATCCACGTCCACGTCCACATCCACGACCACGTCCACGTCCACGTCTACGTTCATGTCGACGTCCACGTCCACGTCCACGTCCACGTCCACGTCCACATCCAAGTCCACGTCCTCGTCCTCCACGTCCACGTCCACATCCTCCACGTCCTCGTCCACGTCCATGTCCACGTCCACCTCCACGTCCACATCCACGACCACGTCCATGTCCATGACCACGTCCACGTCCACGTCCACATCCACGTCCACGTCCATGCCACGTCCACATCCACGTCCACGTCCACGTCCACGTCCAAGTCCACGTCCACGTCCACGTCCACGTCCACGTCCACGTCCACTTCCACGTCCACGACCACGTCCACGTCCACGTCCACGACCTTGCCACGTCCACGTCCACATCCTGGTCCACGTCCACGTCCACGTCCTCCACGTCCACGTCCACGTCCTCCACGTCCACGTCCACGTCCACGACCACGTCCACGTCTTCGTCCGCGTCCAGGTCCACGGCCACGACCACGTCCACGTCCACGACCACGTCCATGTCCACGTCACGTCTACGTCCACGTCCACGTCCACGACCACGTCCACGTCCATGTCCACGACCACGTCCACGTCTACGTCCAGGTCCACGTCCTCGTTCAGGTCCAGGTCCACGTCCACGTCCAAGTCCACGTCCACGTTCAGGTCCAGGTCCACGTCCACGTCCACATCCAGGTCCAGGTCCACGTCCAGGTCCACGTCCACGTCCACGTCCACGTCCAATTCCACGTCCAATTCCACGTCCAGCTCTACGTCGACGTCCACGTCGACGTCCACGTCCACGACCACGACCACGTCCACGTCCACGTCCACGTCCACGTCCACGTCCACGTCCAAGTCCACGTCCACGTCCACGTCCACATCCAGGTCCACGTCCACGTCCACGTCCACGTCCAAGTCCACGTCCACGTCCAGGACCACGTCCACGTCCACGTCCACGACCATGTCCACGTCCACGTCCACGTTCAAATCCACGTCCACGTCCACGTCCACGTCCAAGTCCACGTCCATGTCAAGGACCACGTCCACGTCCAAGTCCACGTCCACGTCCACGTCCACGACCACGTCCACGTCCACGTCCACGTCCACGTTAACGTTCACGTCCACGTCCACATACACGTCCACGACCACGTCCACATCCACGTCCACGTCCACGTCCACGTCAACGACCACGTCCACTACCACGTCCACGTCCACGTCCACGACCACGTCCACGTCAACGTCCACGTCCACGTCCACGTCCACGTCAACGACCACGTCCACGTCCACTTCCACGTCCACGTCCACGTCCACGTCCAAGTCCACGTCCACGTCCAGTTCCACGTCCAGGTCCACGTCTAGGTCTACGTCGACGTCCACGTCCACGTCGACGTCCACCTCCACGTCCACGACCACGTCCACGTTCACGTCCACGTCCAAGTCCACGTCCAAGTCCACGTCCACGTCCACGTCCACGTCCACGACCACGTCCACGACCACTTCAAGGTCCACGTCAACGTCCACGTCCAGGTCCACGTCCACGACCACGTCCACGTCCACGTCACGTCCACGACCACGTCCACGTCCACGACCACGTCCACGTCCACGTCCACGTCCACGTCCATGTCTACGTCCACGTCCACCTCCAGGTCCACGTCCACGTCCAGGTCCACGTCCACGTCCACGACCACGTCCACGTCTACGTCCACGTCCACGTCCATGTCCAGGTCCAGGTCCACGTCCACGTCCAGGTCCACGTCCACGTCCACGTCCACGTCTAAGTCCACGTCCACATCAAGGTCCACGTCCACGTCCACGTCCACGACCACGTCCACGTCCACGTCCACATCCACGTCCACGTCCACGTCCACGTCCACGTCCACATCCACTCCACGTCCACGTCCACGTCCACGTCCAAGTCCACGTCCACGTCCAGGTCCACGTCCACGTCCACGTCCACGTCCACGTCCACTTCCACGTCCACGACCACGTCCACGTCCACGTCCACGTCCACATCCAGGTCCACGTCCACGTCCACGTCCTCCACGTTCACGTCAACGTCCTCCACGTCCACGTCCACGTCCACGTCCACGTCCACGACCACGTCCACGTCCACGTCTTCGTCCACGTCCAGGTCCACGTCCACGACCACGTCCACGTCCACGTCCACGTCCACGACCACGTCCACGTCCACGTCACGTCTACGTCCACGTCCACGTCCACGTCCACGACCACGTCCACGTCCACGTCCACGTCCACGACCACGTCCACGTCCACGTCCACGTCCACGACCACGTCCACGTCCACGACCACGTCCACGTCCACGTCCACGACCACGTCCACGTCCACTTCCACGTCCACGACCTCCACGTCCACGTCCACGTCCTCCACGTCCACGTCCACGTCCACCTCCACGTCCAATTCCACGTCCAGATCCACGTCCACGTCCACATCCACGACCACGTCCACGTCCACGTCTACGTTCATGTCGACGTTCACGTCCACGTCCACGTCCACGTCCACATCCAAGTCCACGTCCTCGTCCTCCACGTCCACGTCCACATCCTCCACGTCCTCGTCCACGTCCATGTCCACGTCCACCTCCACGTCCACATCCACGACCACGTCCATGTCCATGACCACGTCCACGTCCACGTCCACGTCCACATCCACGTCCACGTCCATGCCACGTCCACATCCACGTCCACGTCCACGTCCACGTCCAAGTCCACGTCCACGTCCACGTCCACGTCCACGTCCACTTCCACGTCCACGACCACGTCCACGTCCACGTCCACGACCTTGCCACGTCCACGTCCACATCCTGGTCCACGTCCACGTCCACGTCCTCCACGTCCACGTCCACGTCCTCCACGTCCACGTCAACGTCCACGTCTACGTCCACGACCACGTCCACGTCTTCGTCCGCGTCCAGGTCCACGTCCACGACCACGTCCACGTCCACGTCCACGTCCACGACCACGTCCATGTCCGCGTCACGTCTACGTCCACGTCCACGTCCACGACCACGTCCACGTCCATGTCCACGACCACGTCCACGTCCACGTCCAGCTCTACGTCGACGTCCACGTCCACGTCTACGTCCAGGTCCACGTCCTCGTTCAGGTCCAGGTCCACGTCCACGTCCAGGTCCACGTCCACGTTCAGGTCCAGGTCCACGTCCACGTCCACATCCAGGTCCAGGTCCACGTCCAGGTCCACGTCCACGTTCACGTCCACGTCCAATTCCACGTCCAATTCCACGTCCAGCTCTACGTCGACGTCCACGTCGACGTCCACGTCCACGACCACGTCCACGTCCACGTCCACGTCCACGTCCACGTCCAAGTCCACGTCCACGTACACGTCCACATCCAGGTCCACGTCCACGTCCAAGTCCACGTCCACGTCCAGGACCACGTCCACGTCCACGTCCACGACCATGTCCACGTCCACGTCCACGTTCAAATCCACGTCCACGTCCACGTCCACGTCCAAGTCCACGTCCATGTCAAGGACCACGTCCACGTCCAAGTCCACGTCCACGTCCACGTCCACGTCCACGACCACGTCCACGTCCACGTCCACGTCCACGTCCACGTTCACGTCCACGTCCACATACACGTCCACGACCACGTCCACATCCACGTCCACGTCCACGTCCACGTCAACGACCACGTCCACTACCACTTCCACGTCCACGTCCACGACCACGTCCACGTCAACGTCCACGTCCACGTCCACGTCCACGTCAACGACCACGTCCACGTCCACTTCCACGTCCACGTCCACGTCCACGTCCAAGTCCACGTCCACGTCCAGTTCCACGTCCAGGTCCACGTCTAGGTCTACGTCGACGTCCACGTCCACGTCGACGTCCACCTCCACGTCCACGACCACGTCCACGTTCACGTCCACGTCCAAGTCCACGTCCAAGTCCACGTCCACGTCCACGTCCACGTCCACGACCACGTCCACGACCACTTCAAGGTCCACGTCCACGTCCACGTCCAGGTCCACGTCCACGACCACGTCCACGTCCACGTCACGTCCACGACCACGTCCACGTCCACGACCACGTCCACGTCCACGTCCACGTCCACGTCCATGTCTACGTCCACGTCCACCTCCAGGTCCACGTCCACGTCCAGGTCCACGTCCACGTCTACGACCACGTCCACGTCTACGTCCACGTCCACGTCCATGTCCAGGTCCAGGTCCACGTCCACGTCCAGGTCCATGTCCACGTCCAAGTCCACGTCCACGTCCACGTCCACGTCCACGTCTAAGTCCACGTCCACATCAAGGTCCACGTCCACGTCCACGTCCACGTCCACGACCACGTCCACGTCCACGTCCACATCTACGTCCACGTCCACGTCCACGTCCACATCCACTCCACGTCCACGTCCACGTCCACGTCCAAGTCCACGTCCACGTCCAGGTCCACGTCCACGTCCACGTCCACGTCCACGTCCACTTCCACGTCCACGACCACGTCCACGTCCACGTCCACGTCCACATCCAGGTCCACGTCCACGTCCACGTCCTCCACGTTCACGTCAACGTCCTCCACGTCCACGTCCACGTCCACGTCCACGTCCACGACCACGTCCACGTCCACGTCTTCGTCCACGTCCAGGTCCACGTCCACGACCACGTCCACGTCCACGTCCACGTCCACGACCACGTCCACGTCCACGTCACGTCTACGTCCACGTCCACGTCCACGTCCACGTCCACGACCACGTCCACGTCCACGTCCACGTCCACGACCACGTCCACGTCCACGTCCACGTCCACGACCACGTCCACGTCCACGTCCACGTCCAAGTCCACGTCCACGTCCACGTCCACATCCAGGTCCACGTCCATGTCCACGTCCACGTCCAAGTCCACGTCCACGTCCAGGACCACGTTCACGTCCACGTCCACGTCCGCGTCTACGTCCATGTCCACGTCCACGACCAAGTCCACGTCCACGTCCACGTCCAAGTCCACGTCCACGTCCACGTCCTCCACGTCCACATCCATGTCCTCCATGTCCAGGTCCACGTCCACGTCCACGACCGCGTCCACGTCCACGTCCACGTCCAGGTCCAGGTCCATGTCCAGGTCCACGTCCATGTCCACGTCCACGTCTACGTCCACGTCCACGTCCAAGTCCACGTCCACGTCCACGTCCACGTCCAAGTCCACGTCCACGTCCACATCCCGGACCACATCCACGTCTACGTCCATGTCCACGTCCACGACCAAGTCCACGTCCACGTCCACGTCCAAGTCCACGTCCACGTCCACGTCCACGTCCAAGTCCACGTCCACGTCCTCCACGTCCACATCCACGTCCTCCATGTCCACGTCCACGTCCACGTCCACGTCCACGTCCACGACCACATCCACGTCCACGTCCATGTCCAGGTCCACGTCCACGTCTACGTCCACGTCCACGACCACGTCCACGTCTACGTCCACGTCCACGACCACGTCCACGTCCACGTCCACGTCCACGTCCAAGTCCACGTCCACGTCCACGTCCACATCCAGGTCCACGTCCACGTCCACGTCCACGTCCAAGTCCACGTCCACGTCCAGGACCACGTTCACGTCCACGTCCACGTCCACGTCTACGTCCATGTCCACGTCCACGACCAAGTCCACGTCCACGTCCACGTCCAAGTCCACGTCCACGTCCACGTCCACGTCCAAGTCCACGTCCACGTCCACGTCCTCCACGTCCACATCCACGTCCTCCATGTCCAGGTCCACGTCCACGTCCACGACCGCGTCCACGTCCACGTCCACGTCCAGGTCCAGGTCCATGTCCAGGTCCACGTCCATGTCCACGTCCACGTCCAGGTCCACGTCCATGTCCACGTCCACGTCCAGGTCCAGGTCCACGTCCACGTCCACGTCCACGTCCACGTCCAAGTCCACGTCCACGTCCACGTCCACGTCCAAGTCCACGTCCACGTCCACGTCCACGTCCCGGACCACATCCACGTCCACGTCCACGTCCACGACCACGTCCATGTCCACGTCCACGTCCAAGTCCACGTCCACGTCCAGGTCCACGTCCACGTCCACGTCCACGACCACGTCCACGTCTACGTCCACGACCACGTCCACTTCCACGTCCACATCCACATCGACGTCCACGTCCACGTCCATGTCCACGTCCACGACGACGTCTACGTCCACGTCCACGTCCACGTCCACGACCACCTCCACGTCCACGTCCACATCCACGTCCACGTCCACGTCCAAGTCCACGTCCACGTCCACGTCATCCACGTCAATGTCCACGTCCTCCACGTCCACGTCCACGTCCAAGTCCACGTCCACGTCCAAGTCCTTGTCCACGTCCACGTCCACGTCTACGTCCACGTCCAGGTCCAGGTTTACGTCCACGTCCACGTCCACGTCCATGTCCTCCACGTCCACCTCCACGTCCTCCACGTCCATGTCTACGTCCACGTCCACGTCCACGTCCACGTCTAGGTCCAGGTCCACGTCCACGTCCACGTCCTCCACGTCCACCTCCACGTCCTCCACGTCCACGTCCACGTCCACGTCCAGGTCCAGATCCACGTCCACGTCCACGTCCACGACCACGTCCACGTCCACGTCCACGTCCAAGTCCACGTCCAAGTCCACATCCAAGTACAGGTCCACGTCCACGTCCACGTCCACGTCCACGTCTACGTCCACGTCCACGACCACGTCCACGTCCACTTCCACGTCCACGTCCACGTCCACGTCCACATCCAGGTCCACGTCCACGTCCACGTCCCACTACCACGTCCACATCCACGTCCACGTCCACGACCACGTCCACGTCCACGTCCACGACCACGTCCACGTCCACGTCCACGACCACGTCCACGTCCACGTCCACGTCCACGTCCACGTCCAAGTCCACGTCCAAGTCCACGTCCACGTCCACGTCCACGACCACGTCCACGTACACGTCAACGTCCAAGTCCACGTCCAAGTCCACGTCCAGGTCCAGGTCCATGTCCACGACCACGTCCACGTCTACGTCCACGTCCACGTCTACGACCACGTCCACGTCCACGTCCACGTCCACATCCACGTCCACGTCCATGCCACGTCCACATCCACGTCCACGTCCACGTCTACGTCCAAGTCCACGTCCACGTCCACGTCCACGTCCACGTCCACTTCCACGTCCACGACCACGTCCACGTCCACGTCCACGACCTTGCCACGTCCACGTCCACATCCTGGTCCACGTCCACGTCCACGTCCTCCACGTCCACGTCCACGTCCTCCACGTCCACGTCGACGTCCACGTCCACGTCCACGACCACGTCCACGTCCACGTCCACGACCACGTCCACGTCCACGACCACGACCACGTCCACGTCCAGCTCTACGTCGACGTCCACGTCCACGTCTACGTCCAGGTCCACGTCCTCGTTCAGGTCCAGGTCCACGTCCACGTCCAGGTCCACGTCCACGTTCAGGTCCAGGTCCACGTCCACGTCCACATCCAGGTCCAGGTCCACGTCCAGGTCCACGTCCACGTCCACGTCCACGTCCACGTCCAATTCCACGTCCAGGTCTACGTCCAGCTCTACGTCGACGTCCACGTCCACGTCCACGACCACGTCCACGTCCACGACCACGTCCACGTCCACGTCCACGTCCACGACCACGTCCACGTCCACGTCCAAGTCCAAGTCCACGTCCACGTCCACGTCCACATCCAAGGCCACGTCCACGTCCACGTCCACGTCCAAGTCCACGTCTACGTCCACGTCCAAGACCACGTCCATGTCCACGTCCACGTCCACGACCATGTCCACGTCCACGTCCACGTTGAAATCCACGTCCACGTCCACGTCCACGTCCAAGTCCACGTCCATGTCAAGGACCACGTCCACGTCCAAGTCCACGTCCACGTCCACGTCCACGACCACGTCCACGTCCACGTCCACGTCCACGTCCACATTCACGTCCACGTCCAGATACACGTCCACGACCACGTCCACATCCACGTCCACGTCCACGTCCACGTCAACGACCACGTCCACTACCACGTCCACGTCCACGTCCACGACCACGTCCACGTCAACGTCCACGTCCACGACCACGTCCACGTCCACGTCCACGTCAACGACCACGCCCACGTCCACTTCCACGTCCACGTCCACGTCCACGTCCAAGTCCACGTCCACGTCCAGTTCCACGTCCAGGTCCACGTCTAGGTCTACGTCGACGTCCACGTCCACGTCGACGTCCACCTCCACGTCCACGACCACGTCCACGTTCACGTCCACGTCCAAGTCCACGTCCAAGTCCACGTCCACGTCCACGTCCACGTCCACGACCACGTCCACGACCACTTCAAGGTCCACGTCCACGTCCACGTCCAGGTCCACGTCCACGACCACGTCCACGTCCACGTCACGTCCACGACCACGTCCACGTCCACGACCACGTCCACGTCCACGTCCACGTCCACGTCCATGTCTACGTCCACGTCCACCTCCAGGTCCACGTCCACGTCCAGGTCCACGTCCACGTCCACGACCACGTCCACATCTACGTCCACGTCCACGTCCATGTCCAGGTCCAGGTCCACGTCCACGTCCAGGTCCACGTCCACGTCCTGGTCCACGTCCACGTCCACGTCCACGTCTAAGTCCACGTCCACATCAAGGTCAACGTCCACGTCCACGTCCACGTCCACGACCACGTCCACGTCCACGTCCACATCCACGTCCACGTCCACGTCCACGTCCACATCCACTCCACGTCCACGTCCACGTCCACGTCCACGTCCAAGTCCACGTCCACGTCCAGGTCCACGTCCACGTCCACGTCCACGTCCACTTCCACGTCCACGACCACGTCCACGTCCACGTCCACGTCCACGTCCACGTCCACATCCAGGTCCACGTCCACGTCCACGTCCTCCACGTTCACGTCAACGTCCTCCACGTCCACGTCCACGTCCACGTCCACGTCCACGACCACGTCCACGTCCACGTCTTCGTCCACGTCCAGGTCCACGTCCACGACCACGTCCACGTCCACGTCCACGACCACGTCCACGTCCACGTCACGTCTACGTCCACGTCCACGTCCACGTCCACGTCCACGTCCACGTCCACGACCACGTCCACGTCCACGTCCACGTCCACGTCCAGGTCCACATCCTTGTTCAGGTACAGGTCCACGTCCACGTCCACGTCCAGGTCCACGTCCAGGTCGACGTCCACGTCCACGTCCAGTTCCACGTCCAGGTCCACGTCCAGCTCTACGTCGACGTCCACGTCCACGTCTACGTCCACGTCCACGTCCACGACCACGTCCACGTCCACGTCCACGTCCAAGTCCACGTCTACGTCCACGTCCACATCCAGGTCCACGTCCACGTCCACGTCCACGTCCAAGTCCACGTCCACGTCCAGGACCACGTTCACGTCCACGTCCACGTCCACGACCATGTCCACGTCCACGTCCACGTCCAAGTCCACGTCCACGTCCACGTCCACGTCCAAGTCCACGTCCATGTCAAGGACCACGTCCACGTCCACGTCTACGACCACGTCCACGACCACGTCCACGTCCACGTCAAGGTCCACGTCCAGGTCAACGTCCACGTCCACGTTCACGTCCACGTCTGTCATATTTATATGACATAGTTGTTGTAGGCTATAGTGGGGTAGCACATATGGGGTACAGGGTTTTTAGGGTTGTATTTGTACCCAATCTTTCCTTAGTCATTTCATTCCTACTTACTCATTTCACATGGTATAGAGCGGGTTCCCTGTGGAACTCTGCCTAGGGCCCACCGAAGCGCGCCCCGAGGCGCGCTCAACTTTTTTTTTCCGCTCTCGAGCGACCCTCCGTGTCGCCTCCCTCCTAGTCGCGGCCCCAGCCGCCCGCTACGATCGCGGCCCCAGCCGCCTGCTCGACGCGGCCCCCAGCCGCCTGCTCGACGCGGCCCCTCAGCCGCCTGCTCGACGCGGCCCTGCCGCCCGCTACGCCGCGGCCGCCGCCCACTACGATCGCGGCCCCGGCCGCCTGCTACGACCGCGGCCCCAGCCGCCTGTTCGACCGCGGCCCCGCCGCCCGCTCCTGTCGCGGCCCCGGTTGCCTGCTCGCACGGCCTCGCCGCCCGCTACTACCGCGGCCCCGGCCGCCTGCTCGACCGCGGCCCCCCAGCCGCCTGTTCGACCGCGGCCCCGCTGCCCGCTACGGTCGCGGCCCCGGCCGCCTGCTAGCGCGGCCTCGCCGCCCTCTACTACCGCGGCCCCGGCCGCCTGCTTGCACGGCCCCGCCGCCTGCTACGACCGCGGCGCCAGCCGCCTGTTCGACCGCGGCCCCGCCGCCTACTACCGTAGCGGCCCCGGCCGTCTTCTCGCGCGGCCCCGCCGCCCACCTACTACCACGGCCCCAGCCGCCTGCTCGCACGGCCCCGCCGCCTGCTACGACCGCGGCCTCCCAGCCCACTAGGCTGCGGCCGCCGCCTGCTAAACCGCGGCTTCGCCGCCCACTACGCATCGGCCCCGCCGTCCACCTGTAGCGACTGTGCGGGCGGACCTCTGAGCAGCTGTGCCGCCGAGCCGCCCGGGAGCCGAGCCGCCCTGCAGCCGAGCCGCCCGGGAGCCGAGCCGCCCTGCACCCGAGCCGCCCTGTCGCCGAGCCGCCCTGCCCCCGAGCTGCCCTGCCGCCGAGCCGCCCGGGAGCCGAGCCGCTGTGCACCCGAGCCGCCCGGTCGCCGAGCTGCCTTTCTGTCGAGCTACGCGACCTGCCCTGCCTGGTGAGCACAGTCCCACTGTCACTTGCGTGCTCTCCCCCCTACTGCTTGCACTGCTTCACAGTCGTCGTCATGGCTACCCCTAGTGTCCTCGCTTTTGACGCTGAGGGTCGCGCCATTGATTTTGAGGTCTGGCTAGACGACCTGCAGCTGTTCTTACAGTGCGACAGAGCTGACGACCTTTCTCTCTTTGACCTCACCTCTGGCGCCTTTCCTGCTCCTGCTACTGATGCTGATCCCGCTGTCCGCTCTAAGTGGGCCACCCGCGATGCTGCTGCACGTCTTGCTGTGCGTCGCCACCTTCCTACCTCTGAGCGTGCGCACTTCAGTCAGTACAAGAGTGCTCACACCTTGTACGACGCTGTAGTTGCGCGCTACTCCTCCCCTGCCACTGCTGCACTGAGCCGTCTCATGCTTCCCTACCTCTTTCCTGACCTCTCTGCCTTTCCCACTGTCGCTGACCTCATTACGCATCTCCGCACTAGTGACACTCGCTACCGCGCCGCCCTTCCTGCTGAGTTCTGCGCTAAGAACCCCCCCCCCCATGTACATCGCTCTCTACTACGTAGTCGCGCGCCTCCCTGACTCCCTTCGAGTCGTCAGGGACCACTTTCTCGCAGTCTGCCCCACCACGCTCACCGTCGACCTCCTCGAGAAGGCCCTCCTCGCAGCGGAGAAGAGCATAGTCGCTGTAGGTGCTTCTCGTGGTGACCCTCGCACCCCCATCTTTGAGGGGTGCTCTCCTTCCCCCTTGCTGCCCTCTGTTGCCTCTGCTGCTGCTGCCGACCTGCTTGGTCTTGAGTCGGTCGGCGCGGCGTCTGCCCCTAGTGGGAGACGTCGCTCCAGCAAGGGCAAGGGGGGCAAGGGCGCGGGTGGAGCTGGAGGGGGCGGTGGCGGTGGCGGCGGTGGCGGCGGGAGGAGTGGGGGTGGCGGCGGGACTAGTGGCGGGGGTGGTGGTGGTGGTGGCAGCAGCGGCGGGGACAGTAGTGGTGGTGCCAGCGGTGGTGGTGGAGGCAGCGGCGGGGGTGGAGGCGGCGGAGGTGGAGGCGGTGGAGGCGGCGGCGGAGGAGGCAGTGGTGGTGGAGGGGGGTGGAGCTGGTCGGGGTGGTACCCAGCAGCGTAGCGGCGGTGGTGGTGGCCAGCGCTCGCAGCGGCAGCAGCAGCAGCGCTCTCGGGACATCCCTTCGCCTCAGCAGCTTCGTGAGTGGTACGCTGGGCGTCAGAGGGGTGGGGGTACTGGTCCCTGCACCTACGTTCTTTGTTCCGGCGACCGCGCGGGTGAGCAGTGTGGGGGTGCCCACGCCACCCAGCGCTGCTTTGGCCGCCTGACGGACGCCTGGCGTCAGCAGTTCCCTGGGGCTAGTGAGATCCCTCGCTGGGATGAGCTTCTCAGGGCTGATGTAGCGATCTTTGATCTTGATTTTGATGCTATCCTTACTGCTATCTATGTTGTGGATTATAGTGAGGAGAATGAGGGTTACCGTTGTTTCCAGCCCGACCCGGGCATTGGTACTGCTGCGCTAGGTGCTTGTGAGGCTGCTGCTCTAGGTGCCAGTGCGTCTGCGCTCTCAGGTACTGGTGAGACTGCGCTCTCAGGTACTGCGTCGTCCTCGTCCTCCCTCACTTTCACACTTGACTCCGGAGCTTCTCGCTCCTTTCTTTCGAGACCGCACTACCCTTACGCCGCTCGGCCGACCGGTTGCAGTCTCCCTTGCTGACCCCTCTGGAGGTCCTGTCCTGTCTCACTTCTCCACTGTCCTCCCGTGTCGGCTGCCCCTTCGGGCACCCTGTCGGGTCTGTACCTTCCCTCGTTCTCCACGAACTTGGTGAGTGGAGCGGACCTGCAGGATGGGGGTGTTCACCAGTTCACTCCTGCGAGTCAGCGGGTGACCCACTGCACGGAGGCACGCACAGGCCGACACCTGGCCACGTTCTCGCGTCGGCCGGGGTCGAGTCTCTACACCCTGACCGTTGAGTCTCCTCCTGTCCCTGCGTCTGGTCAGGTGGCTGCGTCGGGTCAGGTACTTGCTGCTGCGTCCCGGTCAGGTCCTGAGTCTGCCCCCTGTTCTTGTCGCCTCCTGTCTCACGAGACTCTCCTGTGGCACCACCGTCTTGGCCACCCCTCCTTGCCCCGTCTTCGGAGCATGGCTTCCCGTGTCCTTGTCTCTGTCTTCCCCAGTCTCTCCCTCCTCTCCCCTCCGGGCCAGGACCTTCCTGTGTCCCCTGTGTCGAGGGTCGCCTCCGGGCTACTCCTCACTCCTCCCACTTCCCCCCGACAGAGGCTCCCCTGCAGACGCTTCACATGGATGTGTGGGGCCCAGCCCCCGTCCGTGGGCAGGGTTACGAGCGCTACTTCCTGTTGGTGGTTGACGACTACTCGCGTTACACCACAGTCCTCCCCTTGCGCAGCAAGGGTGCGGTCACTGAGGTGCTGATTGACTGGATCCGCGAGGCTCGTTCTCCAGCTCAGGAAGAGCTTCGGCCTCGGACTTTCCTGTTCTGCGTCTGCACTCGGACAGAGGCGGAGAGTTCTCTTCTCGCCTTCTGCGGGACTACTGTCGTGCACGGGGGATCCGCCAGACCTTCACGCTTCCGGACTCACCACAGCAAAATGGGATTGCTGAGCGCCGCATTGGCATGGTCATGGATTGTCGCTCGTACGTCCATGATGCATGCGGCTGCCCCCCATTTTCTGTGGCCGTTTGCAGTGAGGTACGCGGCGCATCAGCTCAACCTTCACCCCCGGGTCTCTCGGCCTGCGATGTCCCCAGCCTTGCTGTGGACGGGGAAGGTTGGCGATGCGTCTGTGTTCCGTGTCTGGGGATCTCGGGCGTTTGTCCGCGACTTGTCTGCGGACAAGCTGTCCCTCGTGCTGCTCCCCTGTGTCTTCCTTGGCTTCCCCACTGACGCCCCAGGGTGGCAGTTTTACCACCCCCTCCTCTCGTCGTGTTCTGTCCTCCCAGGACGTCACGTTTCGACGAGTCAGTCCCCTTCTACCGTCTTCTTCCCCTACCGCACTCCTTCCCTCCCCCCTCCCCCGGACTTCCTTGTGCCGGTTTCCCCCCCCGGTAGACCCCCTCCCCCCTCAGGTTCCTGCCCCCTCAGGTGTGTCCCAGGTAGACGCCGTTGACCCGGTCGAGGTTACTGTGACTCTGGTGGCTGCTGCGGGTGCTGAGCCTGGGGGTGCTGACTCTGGGGGTGCTGGTCGCGGGGTGCTGAGCCTGGGGGTGCTTGCTACTGCTGGGGGTGCTGGGCCTGAGGGTTCTACTGCAGAGGGTGCGGAGCCTGGGGGTGCTGAGCCGGGGGGTGCTGTGCCTGGGGGTGCGGGGTCTGGGGGTGCTGGGTCGGGAGCTACTGAGCCTGGGTGTGCTGAGCTGGGAGCTGCTGAGCCTGGGGGTGCTGCGTCTGGAGCTGCTGAGCCTGGGGTTTCTCCTGCTGCTGCATCTCGCCGGGAGCCCCTCTCCTCCACAGGAGCTGCGCGAGTGGTTCGCTCCGCCGCTGGAGGCGTGCTGCTGAGTCTGGAGGTGCTGCTGGAGCTGGAGCTGGAGCTTCTTCGACCGTCGTGGGTGCGGTGCTGCCGGTCCCAGGAGCTGCTGGACCTGCGGGTCCTCCTGGAGCTGGAGCTGCTGAGGGAGCTGGTGCTGAGCCTACTGCTGTTGGTCCTGCCACTGGAGGTGTGGGTGGCGCTGGTGCTGTCGCTGAGGGTGCTGGTGCAGACCCTGCTGCGTCTGGAGCTGCCAGCGCGGCCTCGGCCGTACTTCGTTCCGCTCCTGCAGCAGGTTCTTGGTCTTTCTCCTCCGGTAGAGGGTCCACCGCCTGTCCAGTCGCAGTCCCTGCTGGAGCCTTCCTCTCCAGTGCCTGCTCCCTCTCCTTACACTGGTCCTACTGGAGGTCTTGCTGAGCGTCGTGAGCCTGCGTCTCGTCCCGCGTCGCCTGTTCGTGCTGCTCGCGCTAGTGGTCGCAGTTCGCGTCAGCGTCCTCCTCCTGTCCCTGGCACGCACCGGATGTCTTTGCGTCCGTCCACTGCTCCTCTGCGGCCCCTTTGCCTTCTCCTCCTGAGTCCTCTCTTCCTGCGCTTGCCGACCCTGAGTCGGACTCTCTTCGTGCTGCCAGTCCTACTGTCACGCGTCTGCTTGCTACTGTCGTCACTGACCCCTCTTTTGAGTCCACTGCTGCGTCTGCTCTAGTCGCTGAGCTCGTCGACTTTGCTGCTCGCTGTCGTCTCGACTACGCTGCTAGTCTTGTTGCTGAGTCTGCGTCTGTCTGTCCTCCGTCCGTCGGGGGTGAGTGTGCTCTTGGCACGGACGTCCTAGAGGACAGGCAGGAGGAGTTACAGTGTCTAGCGGCTGCTTCACCTCATCTCGCGTCTGTACTGCTTGCCCCTGAGGGAGACCCGGATGCACTAGACATCCCGACTCCGCGTTCTTACGCGGAGGCCGTAGAGGGTCCCTACTCCTCTCAGTGGCAGGCAGCTATGGATGCAGAGATGGCTTCCTGGAAGTCCACAGGCACCTACGTTGACGCGGTTCCCCCTCCTGGGGCGAACATCGTCAGTGGCATGTGGATCTTCAGGGTGAAGCGGCCGCCGGGCTCTCCACCTGTCTTCAAGGCACGGTACGTTGCTCGTGGCTTCAGTCAGCGGCAGGGAGTTGACTACTTTCAGACCTTCTCTCCCACCCCGAAGATGACTACTCTTCGGGTGCTGCTGCACATAGCCGCTCAGCGCGACTACGAGCTTCACTCTCTCGACTTCAGCACTGCGTTCTTGCAGGGTAGCCTGCACGAGGAGATCTGGCTTCGCCGTCCACCTGGCTTCACTGGGACTTTCCCTCCTGGCACCCAGTGGAGCCTCCGACGGCCAGTCTACGGTCTCCGCCAGGCACCGCGTGAGTGGCACGACACACTGAGGACTACGCTTGCGGCTCTTGGGTTTGCTCCTTCTACTGCTGACCCGTCGCTGTTTCTTCGCACCGACACTTCCCTGCCGCCGTTCTACATCCTCGTGTACGTCGACGACTTGGTCTTTGCCACAGCGGACACTGCTGGACTCGCCTACGTGAAGTCCGAGCTGCTGAAGAGACACACGTGCACAGACCTGGGTGAACTGCGCAGCTACCTTGGCTTGCAGATCACTCGGGACAGAGCACGCCGCACCATTACCTTGACTCAGTCACACATGGTGCAGCAGGTCCTTCAGCGCTTCGGCTTCACGTACTCCTCGCCTCAGGCCACTCCTCTGCCTACTCGCCACTCACTCTCAGCTCTGCCTTCGGATGAGTCCGTAGAGTCGAGTGGTCCGTATGCAGAGCTTGTTGGCTGCCTCATGTACCTGATGACCTGCACACGACCTGACCTTGCATACCCTCTGAGCATTCTTGCACGCTATGTTGCTCCTGGGAGACACAGACCGAGCACATGGCTGCAGCGAAGAGGGTATTGCGCTACCTGTGCAGTACGTCGGGCATGGGGCTAGTGCTTGGAGGGCGGAGTCCAGTGGTCCTTACCGGCCACGCGGACGCTTCTTGGGCTGACGACCAGGCTACGCAGCGGTCGTCACAGGGTTACACCTTCAGCCTTGGTTCCGGCTCTGTCTCGTGGCGGTCTACTCGCTCGTCTTCGGTTCTCGGCTCCAGTTGTGAGGCTGAGATCTACGCCGGGGCCATGGCTGCACAGGAGCTTCGCTGGCTCACCTACCTGCTGACTGACCTTGGAGAGCCGCCTCGTTCTCCTCCAGTGCTGTACGTAGACAACAAGGCTATGCTGGCCTTGTGTCGAGAGCAGCGCTTGGAGCACAGAACGAAGCACATTGCTCTCCGCTACTTCCTTGCTCGTGAGCTGCAGCAGCGTGGTCAGTTGCGACTTGCGTACGTGGCCTCTGAGGCCAACACTGCTGATGTGTTCACCAAGGCACTCGCGCCTTGTGACCATCAGCGCTTTTGCACCCAGCTGGGTCTTGTGCCTGTCTTGCCTCACTTGCTCTCCTCTTGACTTCACTTGTACTGTGACATATATATATACCTGCTCTTGCTTGTCTAGTTTTATATATATGTCTGTACTCCTGCATGTGAACTGGCCTCTGGCCCTACTCTTGTGCTCGGACTGTGTGGTGACTTTGTGATCCACCCTGAGCTTGCTTTGCTTTGCTTGACTGGTCTTGTGACCCCTTGTTCTCCCCCACTTTGCCTATGGGGGTGTGTCAGATTTATATGACATAGTTGCTGTAGGCTATAGTGGGGTAGCACATATGGGGTACAGGGTTTCTAGGGTTGTATTTGTACCCAATCTTTCCTTAGTCATTTCATTCCTACTTACTCATTTCACAACGTCC